CCAGCATTTGTAGTTGTTTGGCTTGGGTTTTTTCCCCTGAGTGAACAAATCCAGATTTTCTCCACTTGGACATAGTTTTATTTTTAAACACAGCTTCCAGAAATGCATTTGTGTGGGATTGCAGTTGGGACCAGTGGAGAGCCATGGCACTCTGCCAGGCACTCACCCTGTCCCTGCAATACAGATGGATTGCCAGGGTTCTGGAGAAAAACAACCCCAAAACTTTAAACAAATTATACTTAATGGAAATAAACATTTTTTGCCCTTCTCTATAATGATTTGGATAATGTCCTGGCTGTGTGTTCCTGGAGGACAGAGGAAGAATGGAGGGGAGAGGAGGGCAGACAGGGCTCTGTGTGCCTGTAACTTGCTCTCCAGTGGGTTCTCTGGGAAGCCTGTGGGAGAGACTGTCATTTCTAAGCTTGGAGTGTTTTGTAACTTCCAGCCCATCCTTCTATTAAAAGGTGGGCAGGCTGGCTGCAGCCAGCTATGATAAAGGGCATTTATCTACTGCTTGGTTTCTTCCATATATGGGTTTGAAAGACCTGGAAAGGCATACAGAACCATGTAATCATTTAGGTTGGATCAAGTCCAGCTGTTAACCTAGCACTGCCAAGTCCACCAATAAACCAGATCCCTAAGTGCCACATTTACATGTCTTTTAAACATCTCCAGGGATGGTGACTCTGCCACTTCCTAGGGTAACCTGTTCTAATGATGGACTTCTTTCAGTGTATCCAATCTAAATATCCCCTAGTGCAATTTTAGGACATTTCCCCATGTCTTATTACTGTTACTTGGGAGAAGAACCAACTCCCCCCTGGCTACAGCCTCCTTTCAGGTGATTGTAGAGAGCAATATGGTCCCTCCTTAGCCTCCTTTTCCCAGGCTAAACAGCCTCTCAGCCACTCCTTGTCAGAAGCATGTTCTGGACCCTTCCCCAGCTCTGTTGCCCTTCTCTGGAAATGTTTCAACACCTCAATGACTTTCTTGTCATGAGGGACCCAGAACTGAACACAGCATTTGAGGTGTGGCCTCACCAATGCTGAGTACAGGGGGACAATCCATGCCCTGGTCCTGCTGACCACACCATGGCTGGCACAGGCATTGGCCTTCTTGGCCCCCTGGGCACAGCTGGCTCATGTTCAGCTGCTGTCAGAGGGCACCCCCAGCTCCTTTTGCACCAGGCAGCTTTGCAGCCCCTCTGTCCCAGCCTGTAGTGCTGTGTGGGGTTGCTGTGAGAGACCTAAGGGCAGGACCTGGCACTTGGCTTTGTTGACCTGATACAGTTGGGTCTCAGCCCATGGATCCAGCCTTTCCAGATCCCCCTGAAGAGCCTTTCTACCCTCCAGTAGATCAACACTCCTGCCCAGCTTGGTTTGAATTGCAAACTCACTGAGGGTTCACTTGATGCCCTTGTCCGGATCATTGCTAATGACATTGAGCAGCCCTGAGCCCTGGTGAGCACCAGGTGTGACCAGCTGCCCTGCAGATTTATCTCCATTCTCCAGCACTCTCTGGGCCTGGCCTTCCAGGCAGTTTTTTACCCAGAGACAGTGCACCCATCCATGTCAAATATATGGCTTGTTTATTTCCTGTGTACAGCATTGATGTTCTCTTCCATGTCATGCACCTGAGTTTTGCTGGGTTTTGGTGATAAGTGACAATGCCATTAAACCAATACCTGGTTGGGATTGGTTTTTTAACATAAAGAAGGGCAAGCAGAGTATGCTGCAGGCTAAAGCCTACCTCACAGAAGAAAAGGCACCATAGATATATCTCTGGTTTTTCAAGCTGGTGCTGATAAATCTCTTCTCTCACTTCTGTTGCTATGGTGTAGGTTCTTTGCAATAACAAACCTTTGGGTCACCCATGTCAAATGCAGAGATCATTCAGAGAGATGCTGAAAGGGAAGGGAAGTAGGAGAGCTTAAATTCCAGCTGATGACAAACAATGAATCAGTGTTGGTCTCAGCAGAGGGCCATCAGAAATTTTGCACTTTGCTTTCAACGACCTCTTTTTGGGTTTGATACTCCCACTTTGAAAAGGCTTCTTTTTACCTTCTCAAATCATTTTTTTCCTTCTACTTTTACTTTTTTTTCTTAGTGCATAAAAGGAAGGTGGATCTCTTCCAAATTCCACTCAGGCCAGGAATATTTGCTTTCTACAGCATGGCTCTAAACACAGAGAACTTATTCTTGCAAATGGTTTGATCATGCAATCCACAAAATACTGGATCAAATTTTGAAGGTTTTTGTGGTTAAAATGTACCTGCTGTCCTTTTTGAGGCAATTGAAGTGGTCACTGAACTTCCTTCCAGAGAAGCTGCTTTATCATGCTGTCATTTCAAACATTGCTTTACTAGTGGGGAGGAAGCAAAACAGTGTTAGGGGGAGCCTTTTAATGTTTTCCAGTGTGCAAAGTACCTGCATTTGGTTCTGTTCTCAAAATATACCTGTTGTGTTTAGCTGGCACAACTGTTGTGAGGAAGTTATCTTGCCCAGATGTTTTATGCTTGTGGAAAACACTGTGCTGGAAATGCCTGGATTTGCCTTGAAGGCTTACTTCTATTCTTGGGTCAAGGCTGAAAGGGAGGACTGTTCTTGTTTTCTGAATGTTTCTGTGCAGATTGAGCTGAAAGTTCAGGAAGAATGTAGAGGGGTAACCAATCTCAAATGCTTGCTTGCTTCTTACTGCTTTTCAAACTGCAAGTCCAGAAAATGGATTAATTCAGAATTTAGTACCTTGGCAACCGTGAACTTTCTGACCTAGTTAAATGGACTCTTTGTTTTGCTGTTTCCTTCCAGATGTGATAGGCAGATGAAAAAAAATCAGAAGCAGCAGTTTAGTCATCTGAGATTTCTTTTAAGGATATTAACTGATTTTTCTGGAACTTGCTTGAAGAAGTTGATTATCTCCTTCCATGTTGTTTAGCCAAGCTGCAGTTCACTTCATTTTGCAGATACTTAGGCTGTCCCCTGGCCCTTGTGCTGCACTCCTTGTGAGAGTGAAAATATGTCAGGGCAGCCAGACCTCCTGTGGCCTGCCTCACCTGGCCACAGCTTACCCATCCCTGAGCATCCACACTGTCTGTCCTGCTGGTCTCTTGGCTTGTAGGAGTGGCTGCCCACCTGTGAGCAGTGCCTCTGTTTGTCTCCTTGGAAGAGAGACACACACTGTGTTCTCCAGCTGGATTGGAATCTGCATTAGGACTTCAGAGAGCCCCAACCCAAAACTGTTACTAGGAGCATACAGTAATGGGCAAGCAAGGGTGGTCTCTGAGGGAGGAACTGGCAGTCTTTCAATTTGTTTTTGTGCCACAGGTACCTTCAGTTATTCTGCTCAGGGAAGCCTCGCCCAGATAAGAGTGCCTACACAAGACAAGTAATTCAGCTCTGTGGATTGATTACATTAGCAACTAGCAAATTAATATAAGGCTGATAGATCTCTGCTGGTTTGGTTTTCTTCGTTTGATCCTGTCTTATAGCTTTACCTTCTTTAAGGCACTCACTCCTTAATTCAAAGCAGGGCCATTTCTGTAGGGTGGGAAATTTTAGCAGGACAAAACTCAGGCTAATGAGACAGAAAACAGCATCAGCAGCAGCCCAGTACTCCTCTCCCTCCTGTGCCTCTCACACCCTTCTTCACCAAAGCTGAATACAAAAGAAAGCAGGAATAGAAGGGATCATGCAGATAAAATCAGATGCTAACTTTAGTGAGCACACATCCATCTTTCCTCTCAAAGATGTTCCTGGTTTGGCATTTACAAGGTTAAGTTTTCATTGATGCAGTAGGTCTCACAACTGGTTGAATTGACTCTCACAGCTTTTGTGCTGTGAGCAGCCTGGTGTGTTGAACATGAGCCAGTTCTGACTTTCACTGAACCAATCTTAAATCTGGTGAGCAGCTTCATGGGATCATCAAGTCCTGTGAGCATCTTGGGGGTCTGCAATGCATCATTGTCATCAAAGCAGATTTGGCATTAAATTTAGACTAACTTGCTTAGGGCTTTGTCCAGTCAGGTATTGAACATCTTGACAAATGGAGATCCTGCCACCTCTGTGGGACTCTGCTGCAACCAGACTGCCCTTGTGGTAGTTTTTTTTTTTTTTTTTCCTGATTTAGTTGTAATCTCCATAGTTTTGATTTATGTCCTGATAAATCCAAGCCCTCACATTAACACTGGCCAGCTCTCTTAGGATCCTTGCATGCATCTCATACAAGTCCAGTAAGCTTCTTTGCATTGATATTTCATCAAGAGAGAATTCCTCAACCCTTTTCCAGTGCAGGTGGCTCCTCTGCTCTTGAACCCTGTTTTGGTACTGGGACCAAGCCCTCTAACACATTGCCACTGTTTTCATGCCTTCCTGTGCTGTCTGGAGCAGACTTTCTGCACACTCACCCCAAATCTTTGTCTCCTACCCAGCTAACTGCCAAAGTCTGCTACTGGAGTTGTCTGGGAGCTGCACCCGTCCTGGTAGCAGCTAAATAGCTGTCTCAGTAGCAGATGAATTTCCACAGCTCCCAACTCACTTGCTTTTGTGTTACCTTTATTCCTCTCCTGGATGCTGTTTTGTGCAATCCCAGTGGGCACAGCAGACCTTCCTTTTATTAGTGGTGTTACTCCTTGTTGGCTCATTCCTTTTGCATGTATGTGAATGTACCAGAAAGCTGTGTGACCATACCAGAAAACTGAACTGAAGAGCCATATGTTGGTTTAGGGTGGAGAGGCACAGGGAGATGTTTGGATGTAGGGTACTTGCTGATGACTTTGCTGTTTTTCATGGAATTAGAGCTACACTCCTGAGAAATAAGTGTCTGAGTAAAGTTTTCTGACATTCAGTGATGTGTAAATTCTCAGAGATTTGGATAACATACCAAAACAAAGGCACTATGTAAAGTAAATGATATCTGTGTGGCAGCAACACCTTGGATGGTGGCAGGGACAAGAGCTTGGATCCCCCATATATTAATGAAATGTTTCTCTCTGTTTTTTTCAGCTTGACCTCACCAAACCCATTGAAGATCAGGGCCCTTTGGATGTGATCATACATAAACTGACAGATGTAATCCTTGAAGCAGACCAGAATGACAGCCAGTCACTGGAGTTGGTTCAGAGGTTCCAGGTAAGTGGTTCTTTCTGCATTTCAAGCAGCAGCATGATTTTGGTGCAGCAAATTCAGTCTGATTACAGTGCAGTTTGTAGGAGTTTGGTGAAAAGAGCTGTCTGGCACACTGTTGACTTGCTGCTGATAGCCCAGCAAAAGTGGTTTTGTCAGTTTAAAATGGATTTGCACCTTGGGAAGGTTTTGTTTTGTATCAGTATGGTTAGTTAGAACTGGTTTCCCACCAAATGTTCTTATGTCATTTCAAGAGTATTAGTGCTGCTCACAAAGAGGAACATGTGTTTGCATCCCTCCATGACAGAAGCCACTGAATTACTTTGGCCCAGCTCTGTCTAGTCTTCCCAGTTCCTGGAATGCTAATTTCTGCAACATCAGGATTACTGTGAGTGACTCTGTCCTCCATTGCTGAAAATCCTGTTATATGTTTTTTTTTCCCCCTCAACTTTACATTGAAGGTCAGAAATATGCAGGATGTGCGGTACAGAGAACTGTTTTCCCCAAGAAGTGTCTTAAAAGATTCTCTCCCAGTGCCTTCCAAACTTTTTTATTTTGGAAGACAGGATGAGATAGAGGGTAGGGCCCCTGTGAGCAGACATCTGAATTATAGCCTCTCTCCAATAAAATAAGGCCTTAAGCTTTTGCTTCTGCAGGAGACTGAATTGTGCCACATCACTGGCATGCAGGAAGCTCCCACAGCAGTAAAACATAACTAGGAACCAGTGGTGCAGAGCACAGGCCCTTCTGTGTTGAATTACATGCCAAAATGTGTTTTTAGAGTTTACTCTCATGTAGTTTCATTTCCAGGGCAGAAACTATCTGTAAATTGTTGCCTGTCTCCATCTGTCCTGTATTACTTTTAAGATATTGAAAATCATTAGAAATTAAGAGAAGCATATTCCATAGGAAGAAGAAATTTTAAGAATACTTTATACTAAAGTGTGTGGTATAGGGTTGTTGTTTTGGGCTCTTAAAATCAATGAGTGACCTAGAAAATTAAAAATGTCCCCTTGCAAGAAAGCTGTTTGTATGAGTGAGGTGTTATATAAGCACTGTGGTATTTCTGGCACCTACACACAAGTGGAAATAGTGTGGTTCCCTTATTGTTGACAAAGTTGACTGAAAAAGTTGTGATGATCTTAACCAGACCAAACAGTGCAAAATTCATTATGCTTTTTTTCCTGCTATTGAATATAAATGTGACAGCAAGATGATACCTGGCAGCAGTCTTACTGTTGGCTCCATAAAGCAGTCTTCCAGGAAGCAGAGAGCAGGGGATCCTTGACCGCAGGAGGAGGAATGATCTGCCAGACTACATTTATGACCTTTTTAAGAATGACTTTTTTCAGATCTATGTTATAGAGGCCTTGACCATCTAATCTGCAAAGTGCTGAGGAGGAAACTGACTTCATGTTTACATGACTCTGTGTCCCTGCTCTCTGGAGTCTGCGATGAGCCCTTGTAGGGTCTGGCAGAGAGTGCTAATAGAACAGGAAGCCTCTCGGCATGCCATTTTCTGACTGTTTCCAATTGCCTTGGAAAAAAAATGACAGGAGAATGAAAATGGTATGGAGGAGTTGCCTGTTGACAGTGGCATTTTTAGCCCCAGAAAACCTTTAGGGCTGAGTTGTTTGAGGTCTTTGTGCTGGTTGGATATAGTATGGAGTGCAGTTTCTCAGGAGAATGCTGGTGGGTGCAGCTGTTCTCCACTGCCCTGAAAATCAGTGATGAGTGCCTGGTGATCTTATCCAAAGCCAAAACAAAGACTGCATGCAGCACCTAGTGTAGTGCACGAGATGAAAAGTGGAGAAATACTGTTATTTGCTTTTTAAGACACTAAAGTCCTTATTTTGGGGAATGAGGAGTATTTGTAGAGATGATGGTCAATCTCCCTTCCTACCCACTGTAACACAGGGCTGGACTGATTGAACACAGGTATTTAGTTAACTCTGAGAATTGGTTAAAGTCCTCAGTGGTTCCTTCTTGACCAGAGGTACATGGAGGAGGTCAGGTGAAGAGGCAGAGTCCCCAGGGTGCCTTTCACTTACTGGTGCTACAGTCCTGCCGTCTTGCTAAGGAAGAAAACCAGCTACCCCAGTTCCTACTTTCTAGACAAAGGATATGGATTTGAAAACTGAGTATGTTTTGGCTCCTGTAAGACATTGGGGAATCTTTGTTAGTCTTTCATTAGAGCAAAATGCTCTCTGAGCATCTCCCTGTCATAGCTGTACAGGGGCTTGAGTGGCTTCATTCATTGCAGCTTCATATTGCGTTCAAAATGATGGCTCCAGTGATGGAAAATCAATAGGGTTATTAATTTGTCTTTCAAAGCTTTTTCTGAGCAGGTTCTCTTTGTATTAGCCTACTTAAAAAGACAGATCAGACACAGTTTTTATGCCTAGTCTTTTGCTATCAGGTTGATGAAAATTTAGAATATTTCCTCCCCTACTGCCCTTCAGCTCTTGACTCTCCCACTCTGGAGTTGCCCAGGATGGTCTCTTCTAATCTTGATTGAGAAGCTTTCTTAGAAGGGTTTGAGACTAAAAGGAAGGAAAATGAGGGAGATATTTTGGAAGGGAAGGAGGTAGGGGACTTCTCAGCTGAGACAAGGCAAGCAAAAAGGAAACTATTACGTCTTAGTAATTCTTTCCTAATTGGAGGGACAGGTTGATACAAAATTGAAATGGTGTATTTACACCTGAATTCACAGGCCAATACCTGTGTTTTATGCATTTGAAAAATAATGATGTCTTAAATTATTGGAAGAGCCTCGTAAACAGCAAAATTAACAAAAAATTTGTCATTCAAGTGCTAGGGGTTAGGATAGCTTCTGTGGGTAGGATATGCAAGATGAAGGAGCAAAGGACTTCTGAAGGCTTCACAGGACAGCTGAATACTCAGAAAGCTTCTTTGATACATACAGAGAATAGAGATGTAACAGAGAAGATAATTTCCCCCTTCCCCTTGCCACACCCTTCTTTCCTCCTAACCGCTGTAGAAATCTTTTAGATTTAGAGACAAACAATTTCGAGGTGAGCATTTACTGAAGACCCAATACACCTTCACCTTTCCTTTTGGAAGGAGGTGTTTTTGAAAAGAGACCATCACAGCCTAAGACAACTAAAAGGAGCCTTTAAATCTAAATCTGATTCAAATGCTTTAGACAAGCTTGTGTTTACATCTCTTTCTCCCTTGGAAAATGTTGACATGTTTTTACAAGCAGTCATTGTCATGTTTCTGTATGTGGGAAAACACAAATCCAAATGGCATTATTGTTTCTTTTTCTTACTTGTTTTCTTCTGGAATATTTTTAATGGAACTTTGTTTAATATTAAACAAAACATTATGTAAGTTTTATTACTTAGTAATAAAAGCAAGTCAACGAACCAGTGAGTCTCTTATCATCTAATGACCTATTATTTGCAGTAGATACTGTATCAACATTCTGTTAAAATATTTTAAAAAATCATTAGCTACCTTTTGGGGTAAAATGACAAGCAGCTCTATCCTCATCTATACACAGGTTTCTCAAGGAAAGTATTTTTTTTTAACTGCTGGATTATATCCAGAGGTATTTAATGGGAACATGACATTTTTGGTCTCTTTCTGATTTCAAGTTTCATTGTTGGCCTTCTGCCTGTAGTGGGGCTGGTACAAAGCATGACTTAACACCAGGCCCGGAATACAAACAAAGGAGGATCTGCTAAAATTCCTTGTTTGTTCTTGTTTGCTTTTATTATGTCAAAGATTAGAAAGAGGAAAATATCGAGGATGTCTGGGTCAAGCTGAACTGCAGCCCAAGGACAGATCCTTTTCAATCTATTGTTGGAAAGCCTAAATATCTTCCACGTTGCCTGGGTGGTTGGAATCTGCTGTTGGATATCAGTCTTCAGTAAATCCACCAAAGTAGAGAGCAGAGTTGTTTTGCAGGAAGGACGAGAGAAGACTTGAAGGTTCAAAGTTGAAAGGTTGTGCTGTACTCTCTTGGCTTCGGCGTTTCTCTTTTCCTTCTTCAACTGCTTAATTTTCAAGTTCATGTCTATAGTAGCTCATCTGCTTTCAAAATAATTAGGCATGTTTATGCCTAACATGTTTATGCAGATCTGTATTTCTGGTAGTGGAGCCCCTCTGTGCTGTGGGAAGAGTGCTGTTACTTGGGCTACATCAAGAGTTCTCCAGTCTCTCAGGTGATCTTCACAGGTCACTTAGTGGTGCTGCAGTTCTGCCCTCTTGGTAAGAGAGAAAACCAAACTACCTCAGTTCCTGCCTTCTAGACAAAGTATATGGCTTTGAAAACTGAGTGCGCTTGTAGTACATGATATGTGCAACAGTTTCTAGTAAAGAATCAAAGTTTATAAAATATTTCACATCAGCTACCATAATTGTTCCTGTGAAACTAACAAAATTGACTTTTCTTATTGTAATTTCCTGTTGTAGACAACTGGTGTAAGGTTCAGATCTTTTAATTACTTATTTAAAGTAGTTTTCTGTGCATGGGTATTGAAACTTCCTTTTGCTTGTGTTGGTGATGTACTGGCAAGAGGTGTGGGAGACTGGGAAAGTGCTGGCAGCCTAAAGGCCCAAGGGGAAGCTGGAAGCCCCTGCATAGCTTCAGCAGTTCATCTCTAGCTGTGTTCAAACAGAAAGGATACATACAAATACACTGACCTTGTTCTGCATTGAGAGTCTCTTTGAAAAGAGGCTGTTTCTGGATTCAGTTAAAAGGAGACATGTGTGACTCATCCCCAGATCAGCTCAAGAAGACACTTCTAGTTCGAGGTCTTGCCTTAGATGACACAGATCTTCACTGCTCTTTTGCTGTTCCTGTGCTTTCTGGCTGTCCAAGTTCCTAGGCCTGGAAATGGAGAAGAGTTGGAGAATAGTACCTGACATAGATTTAATGCTGAGAAACTTCATTGTTTTGTAAAGAAAGCTGATCTTCTCAAAAGCCTTTGGTGTGTGTTTGAAGGGGCTGTTGCCTTGTATTCGTGCAGTTCTTCTTGACATAAGAGTAATTTGTTAAAGTTCTTCAGACTCTAAATGGCTTTTGGAAAACAGCTCCCACCTCCCTCATCTTCATCAGTTATTTCTTGTTTGCCTTACAGAGCTTTTTGGAGGCTCCTTAGGGCAACAGGATGAGAAATAAGTCACTGGAAAGTCAACTTAGATGCTCATCTCTCTTGACATGTTGACTGGTGTAGAATGGCCTTGAGCTTGTTCCTTATTCCTGGTAAACTTTGTTATGCTGTGGCAAGCTTAGTGCTTGGATGATCTTTAAGTCTGGTTTAGGGCTATTACCATTAGAAATAAAGAACTGTGAAGTCCCCTTGCAGAAAGCATAAAAAAGACAGGCTCCCTCTGGAAATAATTAGAGTAACATAACCCAAATTAACAAGTAGAATACATAAGTCCTGGGGAAGCAAGGATAGTTCTCAATGATGATGAGAATGAGGAAGATTCTGGAAGGTACACAAGGAGCTGAAAGACAGAAAAATCATTCCATCCTGGGAGGGCAGAAAAGGCAAGAGTCCACAGGCAGGAGGAATGTGTATGGAAGGGGAATGATCAGTACATGCACAGGAGGGGCTGGGCTAGGATGGAAGTCCAGGGAGCTTGAAGTCAAGGTGGAACCAGAGACTGGTCAAGGCAGACAGGTGGTCACCACAGTGTAAAAGGAAGAGCTCGTACACACATCAGGAGGTTTGCTGTCAGAGCTCTGCTGAGCCACCTTTCAGAGCTGTCACATGTTAGTCTGGGTGCTGTGCTTGCCTCCTCCCCCATCAGCGTATGGGCTCTCTGTAAGGAGCTCATCCTCTCACTGTGCTGGGAAAGACAGTGTGGTAACTCCCTGTCTTTTAAATGGAGGCAGAGAGGGACTGAAAGCTGCCTTGTTACACTCTGGAGATGTTGAGATACTCAAGTACAGTTTCACTATCAGCAAGTTCAAGCTAATGCCCTAGTCACTGGATCATGCTAGCTCCACAGGCTGTTTTAGCTGCTGCATAAAAGGGCACGTATGCATAGACATGTGTGGGTGTTTAAGAGGCATTAGGTAATAAGATACTTTAGCTCTGAAAAGAATAAAAATCTCATCTGTATTTGAAAGTTGATTGCTCTGCTTTAGACTCTGGAAGTACTAGTGGACAGAAGACTGATGAAAACTGCATGTTCTGGGGTTTAGTGACTGGAAATGAACCCACCTTCTGCTCCACTGAGCTGATGAGGCTTTTCATCCAGTCTGTATTGCAAGGGTGTGACAGCAGCTAGGTTTGGCAGTCTTGATGACCAGCTGTGTGAAAGGCTGTCCCTTCCTTTTCCCATGAGGCAGCAAGGTTGAACATAGCTTTGGGGAGTTCATTCTTTGTGTTCTGCGGGGGTTACTAAATATGTCAGACACAAGTATTGCCACTGAGGGGTGCCTTGTGCCCTGTGAAGGAAAGCTGCTTGTGTCTTGGGGGTGGTGCAGTAGGTTCATTAGACCCCAATGCTGGATCCTCTCAGCCTCAAATTAATAATCTCCTTTCAGCAGCCATCAGTTCAGACTATGTAGTCACCAGGAAGCAACAGGTTCTGCATCCCCAGGTAGTATCTGGAACAAAATCACTTTCAGGGAATAGATTATGTCATTCTTTTCTCTCCAGCAAAGTGCATCTCCTGAGGCCATCTCATCATACTCTGAGTATCTTTTGTAGTATGTTTTCTTCTTGGAAAAATCAATTTAAATGAAGTAGAACTTCATGGAAGTCTATTAATTGTAGGAGCTTTTGCATTAATGGGTTTAAAGAAGTAAGTGGAAACATTAGGATGGCTTTGGGAAGTTGGGTGAAACAAAGAGAGACGCTAACTTTGGATATATTAGTCTGATTTTGAGTAGAGTAAGATAGATGTGTTTCCCACTGACTTTATAGAGCCAGGTTGATGATGAAGGAATTCAGCTTCTAAGAAACAGAAGGGAGTTTTGTTGGGTTTGCAAAGCTGATACCTGGCAGCTGTGTCTGTGTTCCTGGCCAAGATGCAGTAGTGCAGTCATGACCTCAGTGAACAGGGAATTGAGTTCCCAAGCTGAAGATCCATGGGGTCATTAACATTACTTTGTTCTTGTAGTCAGAAAAGGAGAGTATGAGCATAGAGAAGTAGCAAGCAATGAAGATACAGTGAAGCAGCAATCTCTTCAGCTCTGCCAAAAATAATTTCGGCCCTTATCATTCAGCCCTTAACACTGTCTTCAGCCCCGCTAGAAGACAGCAATAAAAACAACATAAAAAAACACAGATGTATTTCTGAGCCTAGTTCAGATAGTTGTGATGTTCGCATGCAGTAATTGAATGCAAGGCTGACCCCAAGATAGCTGTGTGCCATCTTTCTTCTCCTAATGGCTTTTCTCAGTCTTGCTGTCAGTTCTTACGGTGGCACTTTGCCACTGGCTCCCTTGTGAGCTAATGTGGTTGCAGGAGAGGTTTTGCTCCTGATGGAGTCTAGAGGAGGAATTTGCCATCTAAACCAGTTAGCTGTCATGTTTGTGTTTGATTCAAGTGTCAGTGTTTTGACTGTCTGGGGACTTTTTGTGTTGCCAAAGTCCATTTGGCTCCCCTTGAAGAGAAGCTGGACTTTTAACGTTATATATTCTCTTCCTCATTATTTTCTCTTGTCATTATTTTTCTACTCTCTTCAGCCAACTTAATGCCATTTTTCCCCCTGTATATTGTTTTGCAGGAGTACATTGATGCTCATCCAGAGACCATTATCCTAGACCCTCTCCCGGCTATCCGTACACTTCTGGATCGATCCAAGTCGTACGAGCTCATCCGGCGAATAGAAGCATACATGCAAGGTAGGCCAATATCTGTGCTCCTGGAGGCTCTTGTTGTGACTAGAGAAGAAAATAGCTTCCTTCTGGAGGCTGGATGTGAAGTTTGAAGTAGTGGTTTTGTGCCCTTTGCATTGTCTCTCCATGGGAGCACAAACACTGAAGCATTCCTGTGTCACAGGATTGCCCTCTGGAATCCTGTGCTCTTCTTTTTCCATATACACGAAGGAGGTTTGTAACTGATTAAAAATACGATGTGGATTTAATGGGGAGCATATTTACCACTGTGAGCACTCTCAGAAATCTTCTGGAAAACATTGTCTTCTTGTTGTGTGCTGGTAAATTGAAATGACTGTACAAACTCAGCAGATGTAGTAAGAATCCTGAGGCCTGAAACTGAGGGAGAAAGAAAAACTGGTTTTGGAAAGGATCAAAAGAAATTAAAGTGTAACTAGGGTTAAGATCTTTGAGAAGTACTGGAAGCCTATTGCACAAGCTAATTGTTGGAGGAACATAAATGCATGTCTGGTGCTGGCTTGTTACCTGACATAAACTATTGCCCTTAACTGGTATCATTTGAGTTGTATTCTATGTAAGGAGTCATGCCTTTTCAACCTGAATAGTTCTGTTACCTTCTCATTTTAACCATTGCAGCTGTTGGGTTAAATTAGTCTTTCATTCCCATTTTACTTCTGCTGCTGTCATGTTCTTGAAACATTTATTGGCTTTTGAATTTAAATCTAGAATAGCTGTGAAGTAACTCTTTCATATGTTAGATGACTGTAATGGGGGGAAATTGCATTTCTGAACTATTTTCTAATGGGATGTTATTGGAAATGCCACTGAGATTGTGTTATCACTGTCTTGATGGGCAGGTAAGAAGCTCAGCATTTTGTATTTTTATAGTTGTGGATTTATGGACATATTATTTGCATATAACCTGCCTGGCCACACTGGCACCATTCTTATGTAGAAATAAGAGTAATAATTCACAGCACTCCCTCTTGTCTTTTGGAATCTCTTAGGGAGAAAATCCTTAATTAATTCAGAATGATTTTGTTTTGGAGTAGATGTTGCTGTTTGTGAGGGAAACCTGTGCACTGAGGGAGTGACTGGGATTTTGTTCTAACAGCAGAGAGATTCAGTAGAGTTTGGGTTTTTCTTCTTTTTCTTAAATTGCTATCAGTAGTATTGTCATCCCTGTGAGAACAATATGTTTGGGAGGATATCCAGTTTTTGAAAGTAGTTTGTCTTCCGCATATTTCAGCCTGCTTTGGTCAAACTGATGAGAAAAATAAATAAGTCCTTAAGGAGGAAAAAGAAAAAGGAAATTTGAATTCAGGTAAAACTGACAGTTCAAAAAGAAGCTGTTAACAAAGCTGAGGAATGAAGTAAGGAATGGCCTAAGCTGTTGTCACTGGCTGCTGCAGTGTTTGGTAACCATTATTTCCCTGACCCTCTGTCCCCCTACCCCCAGCACTTTCCTCCCCAGTCCTATTTCTGGCTCGTAATCAGAAATATCATGACCAAGACCTTGAACCAACTCTGCATTTAGCAAGGGAAATCCCAGGAGAGATGAATAATTGTCTAACTTCTTGTTCTGGCCTAAGTAGATCAGCCTCTGTATTCCTGCACATGATGATCTGCAGTAACAGAAAAGTTACACCACTCTAGGCAGTGCTGTGGGTTTTTCTCCCCTTCCTTGTTTTCATCTGCTAAGTTATGTTTTCTTTGTTGCAGCTACTATCTTATATCCCAAGGCCTTGAGCATTCAGAAAACCCAGACAAGAAGCAGTACATCTGTTAATAGCAGGAACTCTTAGGAGCCACATCTTTATCGTTCTGGAATTTCATTATGGAAGTAACTACTAAGAAAATAATATCCTAGTCTGTAGCTGTAACTAGAGAGCCTTTTTTATCACAGGATACAAAATTAATGTGATGGGTTAAGTTCACTGCAAGGGATTGTCTCTTCTGAAGGAGTGCTGTAAATTCAGGAGGGTTGAGTCTATATGCAAGGAGAAGCCTTCTGCTATTCAAAGTCTTTCAAAAGACAATTATATATATTTACAGATCAGTTTTGGATTTCAGTGATTAATGCCTCTATTTCAATTATGTTTTTAAGTAACTATAAATGAAGTATAGTCTTTATTTATGATCCTCGGTTTACACTGAAGATTTATTTTAACCCTGTAGACCTTAGGACAACTAAATATTTGCACCAGTTAGATTAAAGAGAGGGTCACTATGTGCTCTGCTGAGGTGACTGCATTCTACAGCGGTAGGGCCCCATGGTCCATAAACAGTTTAATTTTAACTCTAATTATTTTTCAGATGTCCAAGTCACTGTCCTTTTGCCAGAGAATTCTCCATGCTTCCTGAAAAAGGGAATCCCTACTTGAAATGTCTAGACTGGGTGTGTGGACATTGTTAGGCTTTCTGAAAGTCCTGTATCCTGCTCTTCATGGAGTCCAGTGTCTGAGTGATAAGTACTTTGATCCAGCCTCCTGGGAATGGTTGCTGGGACACTTTGTGGCTGAGGCACTCCTTGTCTCTGCTGCCAGTCTGTGGCTGCTGAAGAAACTGAGGTGCAGGAGAGCTGGGCCACAGTTGTACCAGTGGTCTGAGGGAAAGCCTGGGGTAGAACCAGAGCTTTCCATGTCCTAGTCTGACACAGCAACCACTCACTCCTTGTGGAAATAGAAGGTTCATAGACTGGCCCAGTCACTGAAGTTGGAAAAGGCCTCTTGAGAACATGCAGTCCAAGTCTCTGTTCCAAGCAGTATCTCTACAGCAGCTTCCTCAGGTCCATGTCCAGTTGGGTTTTTGTGTTTCTCCACAGATGGAGACTGCATAACCTCTCTGAGCAACCTGCTCCAGGATGCACCTTGAATCTGGTGTCTAGCATGCTCCTAGCAGTCCTGACGTGATTTGCAGGGACTGTTGCTTTACTCAGTATGGACAGGGGTATCTCCCTTGGAAGGAAGTAGGACTCTCTTCTGGGAAAAAATAGCTTTAAGAGATATTTTAACATTGATTTTAATGAATTCTATTTTGGAATCAATAGTCTGGCTGGAGCTGTGACTTCCTCTTTTTCCTGGTCTCCATTATTTTGAGTGCAAGCTCTAAAAGAGCTAGTTATTCGGCAACCCATACTACTGAATCTTTAAAAAAAAAAGATTTGAAAAAATAAAGGTTGCATTCCAGCTAGTGTCCTGTATAGCTGTCAGGTGTATGTTGAAATGAATCACTGAATAGATTTTTTTGGTGTCACAGTTGGTATCTCAGCAGTTGTATTGCTTTGTTTACCTATCTCTAAAGAATTGCTTCTTACATAAAAGAGCTCTTGATCAGTTGCAGTGATGTCTGGTGAAAGATTAGGAGCATTATTTAGTAACAACTTCATTTTTAACAGGGTATTGTATGGTTGGAACTGTGTCAGCCTTTTAAAAGCTCTAACTTAATGAAAATAACTAAATTTTCTGATGTGTGTTGAAAAGTTGTGATCCTTCAGGTTTGAAATTCAAAATTGGACACTTAAAATTATGCTTAAGATGGTAATGGGTGATCACTTTGGTCACTAACTAAGCTTTTCATATTACATTTTTTGTTTAAAGATTGAAAGCTTTTGAATTTCCCTATGTATCTTACAAGTAACAATCCAAATTGAAGGAACTTAAATGAAAAGTGAAGTGAACATGCTACTGACTCAGTATGCTATCTAGTTAGTGTTCCCATCTGCTCAGCTTCCTCTTCTGTCTCAAGTGACTTACTGGTTTCTCTGATAACATTTGAACTTGCAGACCCTGAAGTTAATTTCTTTAACCACTTGCTCCTGGCTTTTTCTTCCATTGTTTCAAAATTTTGTTGTTCTTAAATTTAGCTAGAAGTCTAAAATTTGTACAGACAATAGTCCTTATGGAGCTCTCGTAAAAAGGAGAACTCCTGCATAAGCTGAGCTGCAACTCCTTAATTTCTCTCTTCCTAGCAGTTGCTTTTGAAGCATGGGAGCTATTTCCTCAGGACACTCTAAACAGTATGCAGCCCTTTAGCTTCAATATTTTCATCCTGCATGTAATCAAAATCATTTATTTTTGATTGTTTACTATTATATGAGATGCAGTTGCTGCTGTGTATGCTTCTTTCTCATATTACAGAACAGATCACAGTATCCTTCTCTATTCCCTGGATTTCTTTTTATCAGATTCTGTCTGTTTTAGAAATACTCCTCTCACATCTGCATGTATCTTTTGTTACTGTGGGGCAAGCTCAGTATGATGAAATGAGTAAGGCATTTGATTTAGGGCTTGGGGTTTTCTGCTTGGTGCTGGTTCTGCCTTGCTGTATGATTTTGGACATGGAGTGTCACCCCTGTGCATCCTGGCACTCCTCTGCCTGCCCAGATGGCACGTTGCTTTGGGCAGAAACTCTTCTCCAGGTGTACAAACACCACTCCCATACAGCAAGTCTCTGTGCCAAGCTGTGGAGGTATTGTTCTAACAGAAAGTGTGGATCTGTTGTTGAGTAGAAAACTGCATCTACAATTCAGCACCAAAGCAGATAGTCAGGGCTGGGGGTTTTGGACATTATGGAGCATGTACGTTGTTGGAGCAGTGCATACTTAGAGCTTCTCAAAATCAGGCCACCCAGTTAAAAGTGCATGAAAATAGCTGTATATACGTAGCTTTAGGCACTCACCTTTTGAAACTGTAGCCTCTTTTTGCTGTGGCCTACTTTTCAGAGCTGTTTTGGTCAGAGGGGAGGGAAGAATAGTCACACAGGTCAACTTCAGACACCTCTTATTTTTATTTGAAGCTCCTATTAAATTGAAGCCAGATTTTTCTTTTCACTTTAATGCCTCTTAATCACCTGCCTGTGTCTTCAGTTAGAGGGCAGATCCCGGATACTGTAAATAACCACACCAGTTTTTAGGTGCAGAACCCTGCCTTGTTGATTGTATGCTCTCTTTCCACCAAGATAGATGTCTTATTACCTCACTCAAAATGTGTGGCTTGTGTTCACTC